TTAAACTTCAAATTCACAACCAATTTTGTTCCAGAAAATGTGGATAAGGAACCGACTTTAGTTGGATATTGATGGTATATTCAATTCAAATCTCAATCTATATCTATATCTATATATTTATATATAAATAGAATAACTATTTACCAAAAATAGTAAGATAAAAAAAATCGCCAAGTTAATTGCATGCCACTTTTGGAAATTTCGTTGATTTTTTTATTTTTTTAATTACAAAATCAGATAGCATTAATTAATGCTTCCTTAAATGATAGGTTTTGTTTCTTCCCATCCTAAAATTGTGGCTAATGGTGGACTAATTTTTTCAAACACTTGTATTCGACCATGTGCATTTGCACAGATGTGAATAAAATTAAATATTATAAATAATTTTGTATGCATATAATAATAAATTATAAGTTAAACGATATTATTATATTTCAAACATATAGTATTATAAGTTATATTTATGCATATTAAAAATATAAATTAGATAATAGTATTATATTTTAAAATTTAATCATTGACTAAAATAAATAATACATACGATTTGATTGCATACTACCACTATATTGATTGCATAAAATGTAATAAACATATAATTTTGGTAATTTTGAGTGATCATGACCAATTAATTAGCTGAAAAATATTAAATTTATTATAACAATTGCTTGTGTGATTTTAAAAAATTTTACTATGACATAAAAATAAATTAATTTATTTAAAAAACAATCGCTTAATCATAGAAAAAAATATAATATTTATTTAGTGTAAAATATAATTTTATGTAACTTTCATATATCATTTTGTGTAAAATATAATTACTAATTTTAATATTAACTATTATATGATTCGATAAAAAATATTATATGATTCAATAAAAAAATATACCTATTACTCAATTAACATAAAATTTAATGATTTGTCTTAATTAACCCAAAAAAGTGTAATGAAATATTTTATTATTAATGAGATAGGGTGTATTAATGCCACATAGGTAAAATTTATTACTCAATTATTTCTGACAATAAAAAAATATAATCATTACTCAATTACTCATTAGGTTTCATTTAATGGTTTTGCCACATATGTAAAATTTATTAGATTTTATTTATTAGGTAAAATTTATTTCTAAGCTAGAAGTTATATATGTATATAGATTCCTTAAATAAAAGAATTCTGTTCAATTTTAAATTATGATTATTACGGCAAACTTATCCTAACAACTTACAATATCTTATCCCTTATTTACAGATTTTTTAAAAAAGCTAATTCACTCTCATATCTAATTATTAATACAAATCCGGTCTAATAATAATATAAATCTCTTATTTACTATAACATATANATGTCTAACGTATTAATGTTTGATAGGTTGTAATATTATTTACACATGTATATATAGAGAGAGAGATTAAAATATAAGTATTTTTAGATGTTTACCTTACAATATGTATATTGAGATTAAATTTAAGTATTTTTAGACATTTTTCAAAGAATAATATAGAATATTTTAGTTATGCATACAGTAAATGTTAATAAAAAAATGCAGCATTAAATATTCTTTCATTTTTGTATTTAATATTAGTTAGATATAAAATCCCATGTTATTTGTTATATAGTATTTCAGTTTGCATTAATATTGATTTGTATATGTAAAATTGATAAATCATGCATATGCATGGAATTGCCTCCGTTCATGGTAACAACTTAAAAACCACTAATTTTGAAATATTTTGATTTTATGGTAACAACTTTACAAAACTAACTAGCGCGTAGCCCGTGCGACGCACGAGATGGTATATTTTCTTGAAATGTTTAACGTGTGAAATATTAAAAATAATATAATTTATATATATGTAACAAAAAAAATGGATTGCAAAGAAGGGAAAAAAATATAAGTTATTGAACACTTTCTTTGTGAAGTAAAATTTGTGAAGTTTTGATATATTTGATTATGAATAGAAAAGTATGAAATACTACATGCGGACCGTTGAGATAGATGAGAAGATTTACTTAGAATATATAGAATAAATATTGAAATAATGATTTACCTTTTACCTAGTATATATAAAATTAATATTGACATGATGTGGGAAAATTATGACGAATTATGACATAAATTCGTATAGAAGTTAGTAGAAAATATTAAAAAATTAAATTTATTTTTTATTTTTTAAATCCTTACAGTAATTCGTACGCTCCTTTTCATACGCTTAATTTATCAAGTTTACACATACAAATCAAATTAATGCAACTCGAAATATTATATAACAAATAAAATGAGATTTTTTATCTAACATTTAGTATATTGCCGGAAAATCTTTTATAAATCTTATTCTCTTTTTATGCACATAAATATTAAAGAATGAGTAAAAAAATTATCTAAATATGTTTAAAATATCTAATATTATATGTGTTAAAAATGTTACAACCAAAAGACATTAAGAATACGTAGACTATTATATAACATATGTGAAAGTATTAAAATATTTTATATTATTATCGGAAAATGTGAAATTACCTCAATTCTGTCTAGACTATTTTATAAGAAAAATATATATACTTAAAGTTAGCATACAAACATATATATATCCTTAAAGTTTGTCCAACTAACATGTTTAAAAGTATATACAATTTTATATATAAAAACACGTTTAAAGTTTACATATTTTACAAAAATTAGACTGACTGCTCTCAGTTTATATAAAGTTTATTGCTCTCATATTCGGATAACGTATTATGCATTTAATGAAAGCACCCTACGATACAAATTTATAAATATTAATTAAAATAATTTTCTAAATTGTATAAAATTGAAATAACAAAGGTAAATATTACCTGTTCATCATGAAACAGTATATGGAATGCGTTACAGCTCTCCCGTTCGTGATGGGTTTCAATAATGCGGGGTGCTCTCAGACGCAAAAAAAGTTTGTTTCTTTTGTTAACGGAATCAAGTGTACCCCAGCCTGGAAACATTATACTGTATATGTGATGAAAAATTATTCTCTCTATTTGTTTTTCTCTGAACTCGTGAATGATGAGTTGTAATGGTGGTAGTGAATATCATTTTATATAATTTTTTATTAACCAAAAGTGATAAGATAATTATGGATTGTATTTGGATAGATAGTAAGTCCCATGATTTTTGCAACGGACAATCAATTTCACATATTTTTTATTAACCAAAAGTGATAAGATAGTTATGGATTGTATTTAGATAGATAGTAAGTACCATGATTTTTGCAACGGACAATCAATTTCACATGCTTAATTAACGGAAATATCACCATTATTAAGGAGAATATCCATTTGCTTAATTAACGCAAATTTCATGCTAAATTAACGAAATATCCACTGCCTTTTCACGATTTTTCTTCCGATTTTAAAGTAGAATACATAAATAGAAAGTCAAAAGTCAACTCAATTATTTTTAGGTTTCTAAAAAAGGATTTTTACATCAACCTTTTTAGACATATATAGATTTTTGAAATATTTTGATTTTATGGTAACAACTTTAAAACCTAATTTTTGAAATATTTTGTACTCAAACTCTCAATTTTAATATTTTAAACACACATTTTTATGTTCCTTTATACAAGATAATATATTTTAAACATACATTTTTTTATGTGTTCTTTTATACAAGATAATTTTATATAATTTATAATAAACTATATATGGTAAGTTATATCACATACACATCTTTAATTTATAATTATTATTTAATTGTACTTACTCACATCTTAATTTATAATTATTAGTTAATATTTTTTATCCTCACCTTTAATTTATAATTATGATGTAATATTAATTACATGTGCATTGCACGGGCTACGCACTAGTTATTTCAAAATAAAAGATATACTTGCTTTTTCAAAAAATTCTTAAAATAGTAAGTCAACCAATTTATTTTTTAATCAAAATTACTAAAAGTATATTTTTTCAACAACATTTTTATATTAGTATAGATATTGTCGGATAAATGGTATAGGATCGAGATTTTTGACGTAGCCAAATGTGACGAAAGGGATAAATTAAGAGAAACACTCTCAAATATGTTATTAATCAAATTCAATCAATTGAAACAAAAGAGAATATGAGTCTTTAGAACTCTTAAAAAATCATAATCTTGTCCAACAAGTAAAGGGTGATTAAATATTTTTCCTACCAAATAAAAGACTAGAATCATTAAATAAGTTCACTAACAAATCTATGAGTAAAATACTAGCAATAAATAAAAAGAAAGAATAATGAAATTAAAGATCTCAAAGATCATGCTTGACCTATACGATGGTATCAGCAGATCAGTACGATTCAAAAGATACCAAAGATCATGCTTGTCCTACACCAGTTAGTTTGAGAAGACCAGTATAATTCCTACACGATGCCGCTAAAATGGAACGATGATGACAACAGGCGCGGCGCCCTGATAGAGGCAGTGGGGCGTCAGGCAGAGGCGTTGGGGTGCTAACACGAGGCATTGGAATGCCATGTCGCATATCTAGTCTCAGGGTTCGAGGACATTTGATTGGCTCTCGTACTTTTCATTGCAAGCAAATGAATCGCGCACTGGATGGAAGCCGTGGCGGCCGCGGGGGAATGAACAGTGGATGCAGTCGGGGCTCACGCGGGCCCCGCTCTCGATAGCTTAATCATTTGTCGGTGGCAGTGACTTTGATGTCACCATATCTGAGGTACGTCCTTTTGGTAATATGGCGGCACGGGACAAGGACTACTTCGCTGACGATCGACGATGGTAGACTTTTTTCTGGGTCTAAATATCGGAATTATCTGGCAGCTTGAAAGCCGTCGAGTTCTTGGATGCCAAAAGGTCGGTCGAATATGAGGGTATGCATCTATTTTATGACGAGGGATCGATGAATATACGGGTCTGCCTATTTTTTATGTCGAAAAGTCTACCGAGTATGAAGGTCCACCTCTTCTTTATGGCGACGGGTTATACAGGGTCAGTGAGATAGATGGAGTGGTAGAAGGAGGAGATGGGGATATCCTTTCAGACCAAAAAAGCAGCGATTGATGAAACTATTGGAGGGCCCGCTAAGGGCGAAGGCGAAAACGACGAGTGTTGCAGTGCTTGCTTGAGGATGGGTAATTGTAACCATTGGAGTCTAGTTGAGCAACACAAAAAGTAACTTTCATATGCAAAGCAAGAATCTAAAGAAAAATTCTCTTCTCAAGTTTACAGTGTACAAGTCTGCCTCCCTAAGGACCCAACAGCCCTTTGGAATCACAAATTTGTTCAGGATCTCTTTAAGCTACCACTTGTAGTTGTTAATTGTTTTTGTGGAGATAAAGGTCAAGTCCCACAGGTGCAATGTGTCAACAAAAAAGGTCAAACTAACATAAACCCTTCAGGACGTGGAGGGGCATTGGCTGGCATGTGGGGCAGTGCGTCAGCTAAGGAGAAGTTGACAACAAAAATATTAAAGGAGACTCAATTTTCTGTGTGGGGGTATACCAAGTTATCGACGCATAAAATTGGTCTGGTCGGGATTGTGGAGCAGATGAAAACGAGATTGCACCAGATTCGAAGACGAATCATTTTCAAGAGGTGTAGAATGATGGATATGATGACAAGTATGATCTTTGAGATCTTTAATTTAATTTATATACTTTTTTTATTTATTGTTTGTATTTTTGTCCTATATTTGTTAGTAAAGTTATTTAATTATTCTAGTCTTTTATTTGGGAGAAAAATATTTAATTATCCTTCACTTGTTTGACAAGATTTGGGCTTTTGACGAGTTCTATCTAAAGACTCTATTTTCTTGTGTTTGAATCGACTGAATTTGATTAGTAAAGATATTTGAGTATTTTTCTCGTTTTATCCATTTCTTTACGCTTTCCCTACGTCAAATTTAGAGATAATTGAATTAGTTGAACCAATCGAATTTGACGACTATGATCAATTAAATCCATTCAAGACTAAGAAATTCCCAATGAAAATGTAATTTAGAGTCATTTGTATTAAATCATGTTAAAAAGGTACATAAAAAGGGAAAAAAATATTAATTCGCACGACAAAGGCGTTGGGGCAACCGTTGCTACAGATGTACATAGTGTTGTTACATTGTCAAAGAACATGTTGAACTTCAACTATACGTTTATATATACGAGGGTATATTGATATACGTGTCAAATACTACAAAATTATTGTCTTCGAGGTTATATAGATATACGTGTCAAATACTACAAAATTTTTGTTTTCTAAGTGAAAGATCCTTTTTGGGTACGTACTTGATCGCTAAAATATTTCTATTTCTAATCCCCAAAGACCAGCTTGTCTTCTGCGTTTAGAAAGCCGGCGCCTCAATATTTGAATGTACAACACATTAAAAAAATAATTTTGATATTAATCAGAGCTTGGTCTCCTCTGATTAAAATTTTTTTAGCTAGTTGCTAATATATGGTCTCTAATTGTTTATTTAAAATTAAATAAAATATTCCATGACAATTTTGTTGTCAAATGTTGCTATATAAGAAGACGATTTGAATGGATAATTAATTCAGATGAACAAAAGACAAAAAAGAATCGTGATAGTTGTTACTTTCACAGTTTCACTTCTTTTATTGGTCCTTTAAAAAATTTAGTACGACTCCTATGATCCCCTCAGTCATACTTAATTAGTATTTGCTTTCAACAATCACTATAGCATCGCAGATGTAATATTAATTACATAAGCCCTTGATTTTCATCATATGTTTGATGCCTCTCAACTAAAAAGAATGGTTTACTTATAGAAGAGGGTAATCAATTCGACATATATCTTGCACGGGTAACAATAGATATTAAGCATAAAAAAAAGTGTACAAATATCCTTTCATTAATACAGTTTCTCCAGTTTACTTTGTTTTTTCACGATTTTATAAATCAATTTCAAATGCTTGGGACTTTTATTTATTTATTTATTTATTTGTTGATTGATAGAAACTTTTATAAATAAACTAGATCCAACCAAACAACTAACTTAAACAGCTATTGAGGCGAATCTATTAGGAGGACAGACCTAAAGGTCGCTTAGACACGTACCCAAACTCCCAACTGGAGAAAAAAACAGAATTCCCACAAGTGGTGATCAATACACTCCCAAATGAAGAGAAAGCANACTAAACTAAAGTCCTCTCCTCCAGCAACCGAGCCTACCCTAAGATCGGCGCCCTGTCGAACCGCGAAAGAAACGGGATTGGAGCTAAACCGGGCTACGGGTCTCGTCTGAGGGAAGAGGCTCGGCGCTGGAAGAGAGGCGCAAGCTTCGATTAGGTTACCTGCAAGAAAAAAATGGGGAAAGGGGGAAGTTAACTTGAGATGTATGTAATTTTATTTCTTAAGTTTTCATATTTGAAAGTAGTCTTTAAAGAAGCACTTGATCATGCCTAGTAAGTTTTTAAAGTTTTAAACACTTGTTTAACGTAAATTAAAAATATACAATAATTAACATTGAATAATTTTTAACTATCTTAAATATAACGTACATATTCCTTATATAAAATATATTATATGTACACTTATAAATAAAAATCAAATTTTTTTATAAATCATGATTGAAAAATAATAATTTCATATTTATCATTTCAATAAATTATATTATCAAGTCTATTGAATGATATGATGAGTAAGAAAAAACCATTATAATATAAGACGATTGAGGCTTGAGAATAACAGCTATTATTTGAAAAAATATTAACAAAATAATTTTTAAGAAGTATTTAAAAAATAAAAATAGAAACTTTAATTTTTTTTTAATCTTAGTATAATCTTTTAATTAAAAACTATATAATATATGAATGTTGTACTATTACGAGTTTATATGAAAATTTAGTTCACGACGTAAATGGAAATGAACAACCCACCGTGAACGGTTGTAGTGTTAGTTGTACAGTCTGTCTTGACCGATTGGTTACACTAGTGGATTGTGTGCATTAAATGTATCTCATAAAGGATAAGTTTGTTTTGAACGGATCGGTAAATAAACTAGGCATCAGTTAACTATTGCGTACTTTTAACCTTTAAGATAACTGGCACATGCAGAAAGTAGCTGCTACTTTGATTCACCAAAAAGTAAGATCCATTCTGCTAGATCAATAGTCTGATGTGTTTTGGGCATTGATGCTGTGTGCATGGTGTGTTGTTCGATTATTTATGGTCACCGTGTGCAATAGTCTGATGATGTCCCCGAGATGAACTCAATAAGGATTATTATGTTAAACCCTGCAGGTGGATTAAGTTACGACATAATAATAAAGTATTGTGTGGCACTAGTCTCAGCCCAATAAGTCAATTAATTTTATTAGCAATAATTAATTAATTGCCGGACGTTATATATTAAACACGGGGAGATAAATCGAGTAATTATTATCGAAACCTCAAATGGCAATTTAGGAGCCAAATGGAGAGATCAACGAATTATCTTTAGTGGACTGAAGAACCTTTCAAGTATGAGCATAGTGAACTTAGCCCACAGTAGAGCTCTTACTTGGTAAGTCCATATTTGACACCTCCTTAGAGTCCCTATTGTTGTCTATTGCTGAGTAGATTTCAGCCGAGTACGGAATAAATCCCGATCTCGGGTCGTATCGCTCGAGGAAGGTTGTTTGAAGCTTCAGTTACTTACTAGTCATCAAAGCACAAAAATCGAAAACAAGATCCTAAACATTCTAACAAGATGAGGGGATGAATTTAAACTAAGTTAAACTAAGCAATTAAGAGCAATTGCCTAAATATACAAACTTTAGCTAAATATTGGAGCTTTATTGAACCCGGTTCAAAACTTGAGAAAAGACGAAAACAAAGAGAAACAAGCTAAATCTAATGCAACTAGAGGCTAAAGTCAAACATTCAATTACAAAATAACTGACCTTTTAACAAAGTCTCGATTGCTACCTTGAATGATTCAACCTTTAACCAACTAATCACACTAGACAAGCAAAACAACGGAAAAATAAAAACTTTAACAAAAACCGAGTCAATGCACAAGTATTCCGACCAAGAAGATTTTTTCACCTCAAAGTATGTAGTAAGCAAAAATAGAGCAAATGTATGAAATAATAAGACCTAAACTAGTTACTTACTTCCCTTTTGCATGCCCGGGCAAAATAAACGCGTAAATCTCGAAACTTTACTAAAAATGAAATTTCTGGAAAAAAATCGTCGAAAATTCAAGTCTTAAAGCTCCAAACATAAACTAGAAAGAGAAATGAGAGAAAATGAGCTAATTTCCCAACTAAAAAGTTGAAATGACGGAAAGTGTACAAAATACAAAGCAACAAGTCTATATAGTTACACCACAAAAACACACTACAAATACACACCTTTAATGAAAACAGCACTTCATTGGGTCTCGAAATCTAGTTCAGTACAAGTGTGTAGGCTAGGCAGACAAGGTTCGCTAGGTCGCCAATGCCGGTTCACAACGAGTATGTAGCTTGGTTGTTGGGTGAGGTTCGCTAGGTCACCAACACCGGCTCGTAGCGAGTGTGTGCATTGGGTGACCTTGCCAGACCGCGAATGAAGCTTCGCAAAGAGTGTTGCTTGGCGTGCATTGGGAACTCGCGGGCTCGCGGACAGAATTCCGCAGCGAGTGTAGACTAGACTCGGGTCCACCGGGCGCTAAAGGAACTCTCCGACTACTTTTTCAGCAAAACCTGGCAAGTTTCCTAGTGATTTCTGGCAAGACACCAATACGACACGAAAACACAAAAACGAGCAAAAACGCCTCTATAGACCGGAAAAAATCTAAAATAAAGTAAAACGAATACAAATAAAATATTTGAAAACATACAAAATAACAACAAAAACATACGAAACACCCTTATGATGAAAATCATACTGTGAGTTGCCCACAAAGACAAACAAAGAGTGTAAGTTCATACAATGTAAGTCCCGAGATAAACCCGAGACTCTCGAGCCTCGACGTCCAGCCATTGGCGTGCGCCGCGACAGAGTGCCAATCAGCCGCCACCCAGTAGCCACGACACAACCCGCACGACGCACGCCCAGTAGCGACGCATAACAACATGCTAGCAATCTGCACAACCCAAGCACCCGCACGCAGCCTGGGATGCACGCGTACGGCTCTGACGACCCGCGCGACCAGCGACACTGACGATGAATCGATTTGATTCCTGCGATTGTTCAAGAGGTTCAGAAGATATCCATCAACAAAAATCAGAATTATCTCAGAGTCTAAGAAATTTTAAGCCGTGGGTGTTCAAACCAATCTATAGTCCGCTGCACTTTAGACTTTATTTTCATAGATTTAGATCCGTGACTTGCATGAAATACGACGTTCCCCATAAAACACCAAGAACTTTGGTATTTTTCTTGTTGTGTAAATATTAATCTATATATGCTGTGAAGATTAATAAGAAAATGAGTGTTTCCAAATCTTCACGATCATTACGTTCAATTTTGAAAAATAGATCCCCCTAAGCTTCCATGCATCAATGTCTTATTCAGAGTTGTAGAATCACTCACTGTTTCTTCTTCCTTTATTGGTTGAAAAATGATACATATCCAACCTAGTGTACACCTAGGTTGACAACACAAGTGGAAACATTCACTTTTGTATTTTTTTATTTTTATTTTTGTGAATGTCTTTTTACTTGTGTTGTCAACCTAGTTGTACACAAGGTTGGGAATGTGGCATTTATCTTATTGGTTTCTTGCCAACTTTTAAAAATATCTTGTGCTCGATTTGTTTCCTTCTTGCTCGATTTCCTGGCTCTCATAGTCTTGAATTTTTAGTTTCAAATTAAATATACTTCTTTTGTTATTTTTCAAATTCATTCATTTTTCTACATGTAAAAGTAATATAACTATATTCAAATATATAGCAAGAGAATAAGTATAAAAATTGAGATTTTGAAAATTATCAATTTTAAATTGATGTGAAAGAAGTGTTTACTGATCAGGAGGTGGTAGCCATTAAGAGCATTAAACATCTGAAACCTGAAGAGAAGGACAGAATCATATGGGATTGGAATGCTAAAGGGGATTTCTCAGTGGCTTCAACTTATAATAAGCTGGTATGGGAAAAATAGAGCCACATGGACAATCCAGAGTACGGTAAGGAGCAGAAAGTGGGTAGAGTTGTCAGGTGGAAGAGCTGGTCATTGCATATCAAAGGAAAAGTGAAGCACTTTGTCTGGAAGTGCTACTCTAATATCATTCCAATAAACTGTAACCTGAGTAAAAAGGGGAAACCATTTTGAAGTAATCCGCAAAGCATGTGGTGAAGGCCCAGAATCTACAGAGCATCTATTCTTTCATTGTCCTAGGGCTAAAAAGGATATGGGCTTTACCATCTGTCACCTGGGATGGCATTGACAAAGAGACTGCAGACTTCAAGGGCTAGTGGAATTCCCTGTGCTTAATGGAAAAATTCCCTATAATTGAAGACATGATTCAAATCACTGCTTACCTATTATGGGAGATTTGGAAAGCAAGAAACCAATGGGTATTTGAAAAAGTTCAGAGACCAGCAAAGGAGGTGGTGAGGTTTGCATTGGATGATTGGCTTGAATTCTCTGACAGAGGATCAATTTAAAACTGGAGACCAACTAGGTTCCTTGAGTGATCAGTGGTTGCTATTCAGTTATGGGATTTTCTCTTGTTTTTTTACTGTCTGTGTCCTATGTTCCTTTGTGTTTATCTTGATGTCTTTTGGTTATGGTGTAACTTATCTGATAACTAGTGGTGTTTGGTCTAGACAGTTGTTTGGATAGTTTATGCAGCTCGTTTTTAGCTTAATTGTATTGGGTAGTCACTGTAGCTTAGTCTCTGCTATCTAATATTTGCTAGTGTTTGGTTCTAGGACACCTTTGGTGATCCACCAGTGTAGGAGTTATCCTTCATATGGGCTAGTATGCTTATGAACTTTGTAAATATTTTTTTCAGTTTTTATTCCATCTATCGTTTCGTTAAGAAAAAAAATTTATCAAATTCAAAATTTCATATTGAAAGTTTTATTCCCAACAGATACTTATCTGATTATGTACACATAACAAAGCATACCGCGTATATCTGTCCTGGCGGCAGGTAACTAAATTCTCGCCACAATTAATTGTTTCTTATAATGATTCTTACTGAGTTATCATCTAGAATGCCTCAAATTAATGATTTTGAGTAAAAACTAAAAGACTTCCTTAATTATATTTAATGTTATCCCATGTGAGCCAAGCTTTGATTTTGACACGATTAATTTAAATGGGTCCTAATTTTCAACTTTCTTTCATGTCTTGGATCTTTTTCTTCACAAAAAT